AAAAAAAAAAAATGTGAGGTGTATTTATTTGTCCAAACTGTCTTATCCATTTGCATCAGAGGACTCAGCACAAAGTAGCATACAGAAGGAACTTAAGGTTTGAAGAAAAATGACTTCAGCCTTTGCAAAAACTTCACCATGATGGGCTCTAAAGAAACTAGAAGGACTCCTTGATACCTTTACAGTGTCTGTCATTCACTCAACAAATGACTAAGTACCTGTCATTTACCAGGCACTATGCTAGTGCTGAGGATTCAGGAATGACTAAGTTAAGTTCCTGGCTTCATGGAGTTTACAGCCTAGACAAGGAAACAGACAGGGCAGTTTACTACACAATGTACAGATGGCTAAGACTGGGACCATAGTTGAGGGATACCTAATCCACATAAGGGCAGGAATAGGCATGGAAGGCTTCCTAGAGGAAGTGATTTCCAAGCTGAAACTTGACAGATGAACAGAAGTTAGCCAGAGATGGGAAAAGTATTTTTGGCCAATGGAAGAGCAGGTGGTTGAGATAGAATCTGACACGAGATCAAAAAAAAGTTCAGTGATTGGAGAACAGAGTATGAGAACAAGACAACAAATTAAACTGATGATATAAATAAGTGATCATCACAAGGCTTTGTAGGATATAGTAGAGAATTCAAGACTCTTTAGGGAGTTAGGCACTTTACACAACTCATTTGCCTTGGAAGCAGTATAACTTAGGCAGGAGGGGGGAAAATGGGCTTTGAAACAGACTTGGACCTAGCTTTGTCACTGCTTCATTTGGTGCCCTTGGACATGTCATTTGATAACCTCTCTGGAAACACAGAGATGAAGCCAGGTGCCATGGCTCACCCCTGTAATCCCATCACTTTGAGAGGCTGAGGTGGGAGGATGGTTTGTGCCTAGCCTACGCAACACTTTGAGACCTCGTTTCTAGAAAAAATAAAATTATCCTGGTGTGGTGGCACATGTCTATAGTCCCAGTTACTCGGAAGGCTGAGGTGGAAAAATGACTTGAACATGGGAGGTTGCAGCTGCAGTGAGCCGCGATCACGCCACTGCATTCCAGCCTGGGTGACAGCAGGAGACCCTTTCTCAAAAAAAAAAAAAAAAAAAAAGTTTGTAAGGAGGCTGGTAAGTCTAAAGAGCTCAATAAATGATAATTAATAGTTTTCTTTTCTTAAATACACTGTTAACTCTTTAAATAGGCCAGGAGCAAATCATTTAGAGCAAGAACGGTGGAATGGAAAGTGCCTTGGATCCCAAACCAATCCTAAACCTAGATCTGTGTTCGAATCCCAGCACTACGCCCTTACTTATGCCATCTTTTTCATCTTAGTTTCCTCATTAATATCATTTAATTCGCACAATTAGAATGAGGAGTAATATAACGAATGAAAAGTGCTTGGGCTACAATAGGACTTAGTAAATGCTACTGTACTCTCCTCTCACCACCTTCTGGTTTCAGTCTACTCTGGAGTAAAATGAGGACGACCCGTGCTCAGAGGTCAGGACAGAGTAGATGGCTGGCAGCTGAATCGTGGAGGCTGACTTAAACTAGGAAGTCATGGAAAGGATCCTAAAGCAGAAAAATGCTGGCAGCTAGGAGGCCTGAAGCGCCTCTTGGGCGCATTGACTTTGAACTTTAAGGACGCATGCGCGCGCGTCGCCGCTTAGCGCAGCCCTGTTGTTTCCACAACGCCTCCTGGAGAAAGAACAAGGTAAGCGATGCTCACCGAACAGGTGGGAGAAGAGGGCCCGAACGCGTGCACCTACGCGGCAGCTTGGGCTTCGCAGGCGGTTGGGAATCTTAGGTCCATCCTCCCAGGAACAAGGACCTCGTGGGGAGCGCGCACACGGAAGGGGCGGTGAACCCACCTCACGTTTTCATTGGTGGCCTCTTGGTGGACGCCCGCCCTCTGTACTCGCCACACCCTTCTCAGGAACCCACTTCCGGGAAGGGGAGGAAGAGGTGGGCTGGTGGAGGCGGGGTCGAGATGGCGGCGCCTTTGAGGATTCAGAGCGACTGGGCTCAGGCCCTCAGGTGAATTCAGGCTCAGAACGGAGGCAGAGGAGGAGGGTAGTGGATGTTGCTTTTGCGTCAAGGAGAGCTATGCCTGGTCCAGGATATCCACAGGGGTTACTTCATCAATTGTTGAGGGATATGGAGGGAACAGGGTCTGGAAAAAGAAGTATCAAACCCGTATGGTCATTCTATGAAAAGTTATCCCAGGCTAAGGGAGCACATGAGCTGTGTGATCCCCGCGTCCGAACTACGATCAGTGAGTTGGAGAAAGACAGGGATACTGGGAGGCAGGAAGGCTCTTGGCCAAGCAGTCATTTAGCAAGTACTGATTAGTCATCAGTTGTTTCCAAAAGCCCCTGTACTCACCACCACTTTGTATATGTGATGGAACCTTTATATTCTCCTAGGCCCCTAATGCTATATTAGGCATACTGGACGATACTATTAAGGAAACTAACACCATGTCCAGGTTCCATACTGGATACTTGGTAGAGCTCAGGTGTATACTCTAAATACAAGTGATGGTTCCTGCTCTTCCAGAAGCTGACATCCAGGCCAGACCCGGTGGCTCACGCCTGTAATCCCACTTTGGAAAGCTGAGGTTGGTGGATCACTTGAGGCCAGAAGTTCAAGACCAGCCTGACCAACATGGTGAAACCCCCGTCGCTACTAAAAATATAGAAATTAGTCGGGCGTGGTGGCAGGCGCCTATAATCCCAGCTACTTGGGAGACTGAGGCAGGAGAATCGCTTGAACGCAGGAGGCAGAGGTTGCAGTGAGCCAAGATCGCACCAGTGCACTCCAGCCAGGGTGACAGAGCGATGCCTTTCTCAGAAAAAAAAAAAGAAAAAGCTGACATCTTAGTCAGGAGTACACAGCAAACTATTCATTCATCTAACGTTTGTTGATCTTTTTTTTTTTTTTTTTTCCTGCGATGGACTTTTGTTCTTCTTGCCCAGGCTAGAGTGCAATGGCACAATGTTGGCTCACCGCAACCTCCGCTTCCCAGGTTCAAGCGATTCTCCTGCTTCAGCCTCCCTAGCAGCTGAGATTACAGGAATGTGCCACCACACCTGGCTAATTTTTTTGTATTTTTAGTAGAGACAGGGTTTCTCCATGTTGGTCAGGCTAGTCTCGAACTCCCAACCTCAGGTGATCTGCCGGCCTCAGCCTCCCAAAGTGCTGGGATTACAGGCCTGAGCCACCATGCCTGGCCACGTTTGTCGATCTTATACTGTGCCAGTTATTTCTCTAGGCGTCAGGATGAATATAGCAGTGCCATATTTGGCAATTGCTGTTACTAATAAGGGTTTTTCAAATTGAAACAATGGTGAAGATTAATGAAACATAGCCTTCTGCATTTAAGAAATTTACACCTTATAAATTTACGCCTTACTTAATTTTATGTGGGCTAAAATACAGACTACTTACTAGTACACAGAATGTGATAAGTAATAAAGAACAGTAACATGAATTATCACCAGGTACCTATGAGAAAATACAGCACAGAGGACTTAACTTGCCCAAGATGATGCATCTTGTCAAATGATAAAGGGTTGCTGTCAACCTCGATCTTTGTCTTAAAAGCATAGACCCTTTGCATTATACCCTAAAAGTGCTAGGGTGAAGGATTTGGGTGTTTGGGCAGGTGCTAAAATAATAAAAGGAATCTTGTTTGGTTATTGTGAGGGTTAATGATGCTGTATGCAAAGTGCTTAACACAGGACTTGGTTTGCAATAATCTGGATAAATATCTAAATAAAATAACCTTGATTTTTCAAAGTGATCTCACTGTTGATGGATGAGCATTAATTTAACCAACAGATATCTATTAATTAAATAGTTAATCCACAAAATATTTCTTGAACAAATAAAGTTTGTCTGTCTTAGAATGATCTATACCTGATCAGAGGTAGAACTAGATCATGTCTAAGTACTATGACCAAACTGGAGGTTACATGACCTTCCTTCTTCACTTGTAACTATGGCATCCTATTCAACTTTGGTAAGCCTAATTAGGCTTTTGTCTTTCTTCATAGGAAGGATGAAGGGGAGGCCTGGCTAAGCTGTCATCCCCCAGGTAATACCTATAAATCTATATGCTGTCACTTTAAAGAAGGATTATTACCCTTAGAAGAAAGCTTCTTACTTTCTCCTGGCCCAGCCTCCTTACATAATACAGTCTGCAAACATGCTAGATCAGTCTGTACTGTATGGCCATCACCCCAAATCCTCCTTTTCAAGGGAAGGCCTTCAGATTGATTTTCCGTTTGAAAGCCACACACTTATTCATGGAGACATTGTTGATGCATCTAATTAGTCCCTTATCTTGTGCTGTTGTATTGTAAGCACTTCTGCAGCTTCAGGGACCTTCTTGATGTTAATTTCTAGATCTATAGCTCCAGCCCTGACCTCTCTATGTTCAAGTAGAAATGGGAACAGTTGTTTGCTAGAGATTTCTGCTTAAAGCTTACTGTGACCTTAAGTTACCTGACTTACTGAAGTCCAAAACCAAGCTGAGTACGTTTGTTGTCAAATGAATTCTCTTTCTTGATTTTCTCATTTAAGTTACCATCATTTTTCTTTTTTTTTTCTTTTCTTTTTTTATTTATTGCTGCCATCCACGTAAGTTACCATCATTTACCTAGGCATCAGAGTGAAAAACCTAGTTACTTGACCTTCCCATATCCAGGAAGCTCCAAAGTCTTATCAGTTTTTCTTTTGAATGACACTCTTATGTCATTTGCACGATTCTTTTCAAATTATAACCAATGTGGTACAATTCTAAAACAAATCAACCTTCCTTCTAAATTCTGTGAGAAAGTTTTGTTTTGCTGATTATCTTTCATTTCAAATGTTGCTGATATATTTTATTTCTATGAGAAATAAAGTTTTAGCTGGGTACTGTGGCTCATACCTGTAATCCCAGCACTTTGGCAAGCTGAGGCAGGAGGATCACTTAAGTCCAGGGGTTTAAGACAAGCCTGGGCAGCAAAGTGAGATCCTCGTCTCTATAAAAAATAGAAAGATTAGTCAGGCATAGTGGCATGCACCTGTAGTCCCAGCTACTTGGGAGGCTGAGATAGGAGGAACTCTTGAGCCCGGGAGGTTGAGGCTGCAGAAAAGATTATCGTTTATATCAGTGGAATAAAGAATGGACTTTATAGTATTGTGACTTGCCAGTCATCTTAAAATACAAGGCCAGACCTGGTGGCTCACACCTGCCATCCACCGTTTTGGGAGGCCAAAGCAGAAGGATTGCTTGAGACCAGCCTGGGTAACATAGGGAGACCTCATATCTATAACAAATAAACAAAACTAGCTGGGCATGGTGTTGCGTGTCTATAGTCCCAGTTACTCAAGAGGCAGAGGTGAGAGGATTGCTCAAGTGCAGACAGTCAAGGCTACAGTGAGCTGTGATCACGCTATTGCATTTCTATGCTGGACCAGAAAGTGAGACACTGTCTCTAAAAAAAGAAACACATACTCACAAATATACAAATGTATATATATATTTTATATTATATAATTACAGCTAGTTATATTAATTATATATTATAATAAAATATATAATTATATTAAACATAAAAATTCAAGGAAAATACTATATTTTATTTAACCTATTTTATTGTATTTAATTATGTTCAAAAATCCTGTTCTAACTGCTTGAGCTATGATTGTGCCACTTGATACTCCAGCCTAAGAGACAGAGCGAGACCCTGTCTCAATGAAAAAAAAAAATAATAAAGATTTACATTTTATTTTAACTAAAATATATAAACATAATATTAAAATTCACCATCTTTTCATTAGTCCACTGATTATTACAAGGACCTTGGCTTTCTTGTAATACACCATAACCAAAAGGCACAGTTTCTTTAAAGTAAGGCAAACTCTTTACTTACACTAAAAAGACAATCTGAGAGCAAAACTTCCAACTGGGGTTTTTTTTTTTAAGATCTTTTCCCTAGCATTTTGCATTTATCTTGCCCATACATACTATTAAAGCAGTGTTGGAGGTAGAGCCTAATGGGGGGTGTTTGGGTCAGTGGGGCAGACCCCTCGTGAATAGATTAATGTCCTTCCTGGGGAGTGAGAGAGACTGAGTTCTCCATCTGTTCTTTCCTGAGAAAGCTGATTGTTAAAAAGATCCTGGCATCTCCCTCCCCTCTCTTACTTCCTCTCTCACCATGTGATCTCTGCACACACTGGCTTCCCTTCTCCTTCTGCCATGAATGGAAGCAGCCTGAGGCTCTGATCAGAAGCACATGCTGGTGCCATGCTTCTTGTACAGTCTGCAGAACCGTGAGCCAAATAAAACCTTTTTCCTCTATAAATGACCCAGCCTCTGGTATTCCTTTATAGCAACACTAAACAGACTAAGATATCTAATCTAATTCTCTTTTCACTTCACCTGACTTTTAACACAGATACCTGTTTTTCATTCATGGGCCAATTTTACGGGTGTACTATTTATACAGATGTCTGAATTGGGTCTTCAAAGAGAAAAATACTAAATTCTTATTTTTTGGGACATGCTTCTTTTGTACCATACAGGGAAACCGTCTTTGTATGGCAGCCTAACTTGTCAAGGAATTGGCCTAGATGGCATTCCAGAGGTTACAGCTTCAGAAGGATTTATTGTGAATGAAATAAGCAAGGTATGTTTTTATGTCTTCTCCATGGCATGATATCTAAAACCAGTAGTACCCATGCATCTACTTTAGATATTTATACTGTTATCTGTTTATCTGTGTATCTATACTTCATTTGTGTAAGAATTATAGTTTTTACGGCCTATGAATGTCAGTTTTCTTTTTCTCTTGTAGTTACATATACTTTTTTTTTTTTTTGAGATGGAGTTTCGCTCTTGTTGCCCAGGCTGGAGTGCAATGGGATGATCTTGGCTCACCACAACTTCCGCCTCCCAGGGTCAAGCGATTCTCCTGCCTCAGCCTCCTGAGTAGTTGGGATTACAGGCATGCATCACCATGCCCAGCTAATTTTGTAGTTTTAGTAGAGATGGGGTTTTTCCTTGTTGTTCAGGTTGGTCTCAAACTCCTGACCTCTGGTGATCCACCCACCTCTGCCTCCCAGAGTGCTGGTATTACAGGCGTGAGCCACCACACCTGGCCAGTTACATATATCATATACTTTTTTTTTTTTTTTTTGGAGACAAGAGTTTTGCTCTTGTTACCCAGGCTGGAGTGCAATGGCGTGATCTCGGCTCACCGCAACCTCCGCCTCCTGGGTTCAGGCAATTCTCCTGCCTCAGTCTCCTAAGTAGCTGGGATTACAGGCACGCGCCACCATGCCCAGCTAATTTTTTGTATTTTTAGTAGAGACGGGGTTTCACCATGTTGACTAGGATGGTCTCGATCTCTTGACTTCGTGATCCACCCGCCTCGGCCTCCCAAAGTGCTGGGATTACAGGTGTGAGCCATGGCGCCCGGCCCTTATCATATACTTTTAAGTGCAATCAGACTTCCTCTTACTTCTCTTATATTAGCTCTTATAATGCAAGATGCATGTGTAATTTAAAATTTTCTAGTAGCCACATTATAGAGAAAAAAATAAATGATGAAATGGATTTTTTTGTTTGTTTGTTTGTTTGTTTTTGTTTTTTTGAGACGGAGTCTTGCTCTGTTGCCCAGGCTGGAGCGCAATGGCACTATCTTGGCTCACTGCAACCTCTGCCTCCTGGGTTCAAGTGATTCTCCTGCCTTAGCCTCCCTAGTAGCAGTGATTACAGGCGTCCGCCACCACACCTGGCTAATTTTTTGTATTTTTAGTGGAGACAAGGTTTCACCATGTTGGCCAGGCTGGTCTCAAACTCCTGACTTCAGGCAATCCACCTGCCTCAGCCTCCCAAAGTGCTGGGATTACAGGCATGTGTTATCACATCCAGGCAAAATTGATTTTTTTTTTTTTTGAGATGGAGACTTGCTCTGTTGTACAGGCTAGAGTGCAATGGCATGATGTCGGCTCACTGCAACCTCCGCCTCCCAGATTAAAGCGATTCTCCTACCTCAACTTCCCAAATAGCTGGGATTACAGGTGCCTGCCAGCGTGCCTGGCTAATTTTTGTATTTTTAGTAGAGACGAGGTTTCACCATCTTGGCCAGGGTGGTCTCGAACTCCTGACCTCATGATTCACCCGCCTCGTCCTCCAAAAGTGCTGGGATTACAGGGAAATTGATTTTAATAATATAGTTGATCTAACCTAGTATATCTAAAACATTATTTCAACCTATAAATAATATTAAAAATTATTAGAGATATTTTACATTCCTTTTTCTTAAGTCTTCAAAACCCCATGTATATTTTACTTTTACAGCTTATCTCAGTTCAGACTCTAATTTTTATTAGAAATACTTGATCTGTATTTAGATTTTATAAAATATACAGTTGAAAACAGAGATGCCTGTATCCAAGTAGTTCTCAGTTGCCTGATACGGCTGTTACCTACTATACTGAACAACTTAGTATAATCTGTATCTGGTGAGGCCTTGATGAAGAGCCTACATGAACAGTTTTTCTTGTTTGTCTTTGAGGTGAGTAGATGGGTAAGCAGTGTTGGAGAACCCATGATTTGCCTCTCCCTACTCATTCTGACTGCTGCAGTCGGTATGCTCTGGTGAGATGATTCCCAAAGGGTGGACCAGCCTTTTGTTTCATTTTTCATTTTTTGTGTAATTAAACTTTTTAGTTATAAAAAATATTTTGGGTATACTGACAAGAACAGAGAATGCTTTGTTTTTTACATAAGATTTTTGGCAAATGTTCATTCATTACTCTCTTTGGGCCAGATAGTAGGCTACATGTTATTACATATTTTATACTTGTTTTTCATAAACAGCTGTGGGTATTATAGGTGTCAGAAGATCTAAGTCTTAGTTAACTCTGACGCTTACTAGCTTTGTGATTCTGGACAAATAACTTAGTCCTCTGAGTCTCAATTCCTCATCAATAAAGCTGAGAGCCTATTCTACCTCATAGAATGGTTAATGGGGAGTGAGACTGCATGTGGATAAATCTGTAAAATACTACAAAAGTTAGTTTTGGTTGTTTACCATAACAATCCTGTGGGATTGGCACTTTAAATTTCCATTTTGCAGATAAGCAAACAGACTCAGAGAGGTTAATTAATTTCTAATAATCAAAATCAGACTGTGGGCTGGAATTGAAACCCAGTTCTGTTGATTCCAAGTTTAGCACTACCATGCAAGTCTACGTTTTTCCCAGGTATTTTGACACAGCTTGGGTGCTGACTTCTTTCGTCCCTTCATACTCAGACCTGGATACAGTCCTTATCACTTCAAACATGGTTGCTAATTTTTGCTGTGAACCTGCTGGGTGGGTTCAGACAGTAAGTGCTTATAGTTGCACATTCATTTGTTTCCTAACTGCCATGAGTCACTTTGCTATTTGATATTGCTACATTGTTCTCTTAAACAGTCAATCTGCCATTATGCTTAACTATCTAACCCTGGAGGATAAAAGAAGTTTGACTTAGAATTTTATCTTGGTGCAGCATACTCACACTTTTTCCCCTTAGATTTTGTCTGTTTTGATCTCTCTTGCTGTTTTTCTTTAAAATATTTTCATTAACAGCATGATTGCCCACTGCTAATGTTGGAAGATATTTTAACATTTATCTTCCTTTGTAGTCTGTTTATGGATTAAAGGTTGATTTTCAAGATTGCAAAGTAGGAGAAAAGTACTGATTATTGAAATCTGTCACATAGCTCCAAAGAAATGAAGTCTTCTGAGAGCAAACCTAATTCTTACAGAGGCCCAAACACAAAGCTTTTGAAGCTCCTTGCATCCATGCTAGTATGAATATTCAGCCAAGAGAATTTAGCTGACACTTTAGTTTCTGGTACAAGAGGCAGTTCCAAATCCAGGCCAGCACTCTTGCAGCTATATGGGCTTTGTCACGTAGTTAGAAGCAAAAACTCATTTAATGAAAGGCCTGCAGGCAGCCAGGCATGGATATGCTGGCTAAGAAAGTGCTGTTTGTGTAGATAATGTAATTGTCATTTTAAGGAGTAGATGATCTGTAACGAGCATATTTTCAGTGATGAGAATATTTTGACTTTGAAACCATTCTTTCTAATGAACTGTGAGGACCAGTGCTCATTTGTTATAAAGAGGTTCAGAAAATTTTTATTCCTGAAGACATTTTCATTGTCCTAAAGAATTACCAGAGACTTTGAAGTACTACTGCAGAAGAGATAAAAGGTTAGGGGTCCTTTGGTGAGTACAGCTCCTCAGCTCCTTATAGGAGATCTATATTTAGGTAATAGTATTGGTGTTATGCTGGTTAGAGTAAGGGACTGTCATATTGCAAGAATCCTTGAGGAAGGGTTTACCAAGCCTTTTTTACCTCTACATATGCTACCTTGAAATGCCAACATTCTTACCTAAAATGGTTACGTATAGCCCTTGGTAAGTCATGTCTCCTGAATCTAACATCTAGTTCTAGGTATACTTTCCTAATATGCCACCAGTGTTATCTTCCCACAGTAACTGAAAGACAGGTGATAATGACTAGGTAGAACACATGAGGCATCTAAATATAGTTGTGTTACAATAAACAGTCTGTGAACATCTACAGTCAGTTTAAGTCTTCGGTGGGAATAGGCACTGCAAGCCTGACCCAGGCATATACATTTTGTGGGTATACCATAATTTACTTTACCAATTTCCTCTGACATTGTAACTGTCAGTAGTCTGACATTCTTTTGTTTGTTTGTTTGTTTATCACCAATGGCCAATGATACTTTCTAAAAGTTCTTATAGGCCGCAAGTTTACTTTTAGACTTGTCTTTTAAGACCTAGGCTTGGGAGCTGATACTTAGTTTTCTTACATCTCTTTATGTCCTCTTCTGCTGATCCTGTTCCTTGTCCCACTGCTAACTGCAAGTATTGGTACTAGATTTTCTTCTAAAAATAATGCTCTAATGCTTGTTGGTTGTATCATATTTATTGGTGTCTGTCTTCTGTGGAGCAATTTATTTTGAACACAAAAAGATAATGGCATCTTAGCAATACCAAATTACACTGTAGCCCTCAGCAGTTTAAAAGGACTGTTGATCTATGTGGGAGGGATAGTTCAGTGGGGTGGGAAAGGAGGATGGGAGAGGATACACTGAGAAGATAAGAATGTCCTGTAGTCCTAATGTTTTCTTTAAGAGGCTTTAATTATAATATATTGGAGAAGTTTTACTGACAAATGTCATTTTTTTCTCTTTGTTTAGAAAAGCATTCATATTTCATGTCCAAAGGAAAGTACATCTTCTAAGTTTTTGGCACCATATACTACTTTTTCCAGAATTCATACAAAGAGTGTAAGTATTTTGAAAAAAAAAGAAGAAAAAATGTAATAGCCTGTTATTTTTTCCTTTTATTTGCTTGTTTAGTGCCATAAACATATTCATAATTAATATGTCTTTCATTTACTTTGCGTTGTAAGATGATACAGCTGATGAAGTACATGTTTGGCAAAACTGGTACTCAAGTCCACATAGAATATGTGTTCAAATCTACTCACTGGTAATCTTAGAGATTATATGAAGTTTCCTTATATATGTTTTAGGAGAGTTACCAGCTTTCATATAATTATATAATACTTGATGCTTGGCTAGGTGCAGTGACTCACACCTGCAATCCCAGCCCTTTGGAAGGCAGAGGCAGGAGGATCACTTGAGGCCAAGAGCTTGAGACCAACCCTGGCAACAGAGTGGAACTCTGTCTCCACAAAAAAATAAAAATTAGCTGGGCATGGTGGTACATACTTGTAGTCCTAGCTACTCAGGGGGCTGAGGTGGGAGAACTGTTTGAGTTCAGGAGTTGGAGGCTGCAGTGAGCTATGATTGTGCCACTGTACTGCAGCCTGGACTCTTGTCTCCAAAACATTAATAAATAAAAATAAATTTGTAATAGTTGATGCTTACATAATATTGCTGCTGCTCATATTATATTCCTTTTCCTAAAGGACAGGAACATTTTCTCAAAATTTCAAATATACCACACTGAGGAGTAATTTTCAAAGGTCATTGTAATAAAGGCTTTTCTACTGCCATGGGCTTCTTGGAAGCAGAAGTGAGAAATTGGTGGATAAACTGATTATATTGAAGCCATTCACTTCTTACTGTGTGGTACGTTTTTAAAAGAGCTATTTTTGGCTGGGCACAGTGGCTCATGCCTGTAATCTCAGCACCTTGGGAGGCTGAGGTGGGTGGATCGCTTGAGCTCAGGAGTTAAAGGCCAGCCTGAGCAACATGGTGAATCTCTGTCTCTACAAAAAAATACAATAATTAGCCAGACATGGTGGCACATGCCTGTAGTCCCAGCTACTCCAGAGGCTGAGGTAGGAGGATTGCTTGAGCCCAGGAGGTTGAGGCTGCAGTGAGCCATGATCACGCCACTGTCCTCCAGCTGGGGCAACATAATGAGACACTGTCTCATGAAAAAAAAAAAAAAAAAAAAAAAAAAAAAAAAAAAAAAAAAAAAAAATAGAAAAGAAAAAGCTATTTTTTATCCTTATTACAAAACAAATACATACTTAGTGATGAAAATTTAGGATGTGAAAAAAAGTGAGAATCACTCATATTTCTATATTCTAAAGATAACTATTAGGAACTTTTGCTGTATATCCCTTTTAAATAATAATCATAGTAGTAAAGCTCACATTTATTGATGGCCTGCTATAAGCCAGCACCATGGCAACTCTACATATCATCATTTTACTTAATACTCTGTCTTTTCCTTAAATATTTTACCAAAATGGGTTTTTACCCTACATGCTATTTTATAGCTTGCTTTTTATTACTTAATTGTATGTCCATTATTCTTTTTTTTTTTTTTTTTTTTTTTTTTTTTTTTTTTTTTTTTTTTTTTTTTTTGAGACGGAGTTTTGCTCTTGTTACCCAGGCTGGGGTGCAATGGCGCAATCTCGGCTCACCGCAACCTCCGCCTCCTGGGTTCAAGCAATTCTCCTGCCTCAGCCTCCTGAGTAGCTGGGATTACAGGCACGCACCACCATACCCAGCTAATGTTTTGTAGTTTTGGTAGAGACGGGGTTTCACCATGTTGACCAGGATGGTCTCGATCTCTTGACCTCGTGATCCACCCGCCTCGGCCTCCCAAAGTGCTGGGATTACAAGCGTGAGCCACCGTGCCCGGCCTGTATGTCCATTATTCTATACTATCTTTGATGTATTCTTCTAAGAGCTGTATGATATTCTGTTGATTAGTTTACTATAATTTTCCAGTTTTGTATTACTGGACATTCAGGTGTTTCCAGTTTTGTGATTTTGTTTTTTTATGAATATACTTATAGCTAAAGTTTTGCTCCCAAAGATAGGAAGAAATTAGAATATATTTGTAAAAGTGGAATTTCAGTGTCATAGGGTGTGGGAATTCTAAGGCTTTGGGTGTGTTCTAATGCATCTCCACTTAACTGATATATAGAGTCAGTTGTTGCTCTGCATTTCCTATGTAAAACGTACTGTTAGGTTGAATGTTTATCAAGAGTCAGTTTTAATGCCAGTTATGTTATTTTTGGAATTATATAAATTAATTAAATATTATGTTAAATCAATAAAATATGAATGTGAAAATCAGAGAGCAATTATTTACTTGAAAACTAGGCCAGGCACAGTGGCTCACACCTGTAATCCCAGCACATTGGGAGGCTGAGTTGGGTAGATCACCTGAGGTCAGGAGTTCAAGACGAGCCTGGACAACATGATGAAACCCTGTCTGTACTAAAAATACGAAAATTAGCTAGGTATGGTGGCATGTGCCTGTAATCACAGCTACTCGGAGGGTAAGGTAGGAGAATCGCTTGAACCCAGGAGGTGGAGGTGGCAGTGAGCCAGATTGCGCCATTACGCTCCAGCCTGGGCAACAAGAGTGAAATGCCGTCTCCAAAAAAAATAAAAAAAATTAAAAAAAAAACTAAACATGGGCGTGATGGCTCATGATGGCTCATGCTTATAATCCTAGCACTTAGGGAGACCTAAGCAGGAGGATCACTTCAGCTCAAGAGTTCAAAACCAGCCTGGACAACATAGTGAGACCTCATCTCTGTAAAAAAAAATTAAAAATTAGCCAGGTATGGTGATGCACACCTGTAGTCCCAGCTAGTCTGGTGGCTGAGGTGAGAGGAATTGTTCGAGCTCAGGAGTTCAAGGCTTTGGTGAGCTATGATTGTGCCACTGCACTCCAGCTTGGATAAGAGACTCTGGCTCAAGAAAAACCCAAAAAACAAAAATTAAGTTTATTGCTTTGTAAAGATGTGATAAAGATGATTTTTTTTTAAACTGCTTTGATAGCATGCATGGGCAAGATAAATGCAAAATGTTCAGGAAAAAATTAAAACAAAAAGCAACCCTAGTTGAATTTTTGCTCTTAGATTGCTTTGAAAGTGTGAGTAAAGATTTGCCTTGCTTTAAAGAAACTGGAAATTGTAAATTGTGCCTTTTGGTAATATTTTATTACAAGAAAGCCAAGGCCCTTGTAATAATCAGTGGACTAACGAAAAGTTAGTGAATTTTAATGTATGTTTATCTATTTTAGTTAAGATAAAATGTAGATCTTTATGTATCATTTTAAAAAAATGAGATAGGATCTCAGTCTGTCTCCCTTTATCAAAAATAAATTTGTTGAAAAGACTATTCTTTCTCTACTGCATTGCCTTTGTACCTTTATCAAAAATCAATTATCCATATATGTGTGATTCTATTTATGTGCTCTCTATTCTCTTCCTTTCTCTAGTCTCTCTCTGTATACCAAAACCACATTGTTTTGATCTCTGTAATTTTATAATAAATCATAAAATAGGAAGTGTAAGTCCTTCAAATTTGTTTCTCTTTCTCAAAATTGTTTTGGCTATTTTAGGTCCTTGGCAACTCCAGATAGTACAGTGGTACAATCATAGCTCACTCTAGCCTTGAACCCTTAGGCTCAAATGATCCTCCCACCTCAGCCCCCTGGGTAGCTAGAACTGTGAGGTTCATGTACCATACCTCGCTAATTTTTTTTAGACGGAGTCTCACTCTGTCCCCCATCCTGGAGTGCAGTGGCACATTCTCAGTTTCTTGCAATCTCTGCCTCTGCCTCCTGGGTTCAAGCGATTCTCCTGCCTTAGTCTCCTGAGTAGCTGGGATTACAGGCTCCCACTACCACACTTGGAAAAGTTTTGTATTTTTAGTAGAGACAGGGTTTCACTATGTTGGCCAGGCTGGTCTTGAACTCCTGACCTCAAGTGATCCACCCGTTTTGGCCTCTGGAAGTGCTAGGATTACAGGTGTGAGCCACTGCACCTGGCCTAAAATTTTTTTTTTTTTTTTTGAGACGGAGTTTCGCTCTTGTTACCCAGGCTGGAGTGCAATGGCACGATCTCGGCTCACTGCAACCTCCGCCTCCCGGGTTCAGGCAATTCTCCTGCCTCAGCCTCCTGAGTCGCTGGGATTACAGGCATGTACCTCCATGCCCAGCTGATTTTTTGTATTTTTAGTAGAGACGGGGTTTCACCATGTTGACCAGGATGGTCTCGATCTCTTGACCTCGTGATCCACCCGCCTCGGCCTCCCACAGTGCTGGGATTACAGGCTTGAGCCACCGCGCCCGGCCTGCCTAAAAATTTTTATTCTTATTTTTTGTAGAGGTGGAATCCCACTCTGTTGCCCAGGCTGGTCTTAAACTTCTGGCTTTAAGCGGTCCTCTCTCCTTGGCTTCCCAAAGTGCTGGGATTATAGGTATAAGCCACTATGCCTGGACTTTATACATCATTTTTTATTATTTTCTGCTTTCACTGAGGGAGGAGGCGATTAACCTCTGGGAGAGTTGGGAAAGCCACTCACCTTTTGGGAAATAAGTCATTTTAAAAATCATTAACAGGCTAGGCATGGTGGCTCAGCACTCTGGGTGTAACCAGAACTCTGGGAGGCCAAGGTGGGAGGATCACTTGAGTTCAGGAGTTCGAGAGCAGCTCAGGCAACATAGTGAGACCTCATCTCTACAAAAAAATTAAACAAAATAGGCTGGGTGTGGTGGCTCACACCTGTAATCCCAGCACTTTGGGTGGCTGAGGTAGGCAGATCAGTTGAGGCCAGGAGTTCAAGACCAGCCTGGGCATCATGGCACAAACCCATCCCTACTAAAAATACAAAAATTAGCTGGGCGTAGTGGCGCACAACTGTACTCCCAGCTACTTCGGAGACTAAGGCACAAGAATCACTTGAACCCAGGAGGCAGAGGTTGCACTGAGCCGTTATCATGCTACTGCACTTCAGCCTGGGTGACTGAGCAAGACTCTGACTCAAAAAAATAAATAAACAAACAAACAAAATTAGCTGGATGTGGTAATGTGTGCCTGTAGTCCCAGCTACTTGGGAGGCTGAGATGGAAGAATTGCTTAGGAGGTCAAGGCTTCAGTGAGCTGATTGTGCCATTGCACTCCAGCCTGGGTAACAGAGCAAGACCATGTCTGAAAAACAAATAAACAAACAAAAATTAACTATGCTCCTTTTCTATTTCTTATTCTCTTTTTATTTGAGCTTACTGAAAGATGATTCATCCATTTATTAATCACCTACTATATTTCAGCTATTCTTCTGGGCACTGAATAAAATGAATGAAACTGCCCTGGTAGAGCTTACATTCTAGAGGTGTGGGACCAGACACGACTTGCTGATGACTTGGATGTTAGGTATGAGAGAAAATGAGGAGTTAGGATGATTCAAAAAATTTTGGCCTGAGAAGCAGGTAAATTGTGTTCCATTTACTAATTGGAGGAGGAGCAGTTGTATTGGGATGGGGCAGGGGAAATAAAAGTTCTGTTTGGACATGTTCAGTTTGAGGTGTCCACTGTAGCCTAGGTGTCCACTGCCTACTAGCAAGCAGTTGGATAGATGCCACCTGTATCAGGAAAGAATTTGAAGTATGTTGCTATAAGTAAGGGATCCACTAGAAGTTAGCAGTCCTTTTATTCTGAGGAAGCAAAATAAAGAAGAAAAGTCTTAGGCAATGTTAGAGTTGATGGATATATCCTTATAGTTCTTGCCAAACTTATTCATTATGGCTTAATTGGCACAGAACAAAGTGAAATACAAAGTTGGATAATAAAAGCCAAAGTTCCTACTTTTTTCTTAATAACTTATGTGGGAATTATTGTTGCTGGGAATGTGTCTGGAATTAAATATCTTGGTCTCACATTTCCGGAGCATTTGCAGCTGGTTGTTTTTTAATAAAAGGGTACTTGTATGCATTTGTATAAAAGATTTGTTATTCTGATCATGGCCTATATGTGAAGTGATTGCTGATACTGAAATTATAAAAGTGAGGCTGGGTGTGGTGGCGCACGCCTGTGATCTTAGCACTTTGGGAGGCTGAGGCAGGAGGATTGCTTGATCCCAGGAGTTCAAGACCAGCATGAGCAACATAGGGGAACCCCATCTCTCCAAAAAGAAAAAAAGTTTAAAAATTAGCTGTACATGGCAGCCCATGTTTGTAATCTCAGCTACTTGGGAGGCTGAGGCAGGAGGATCACTTGTTCCTGAGAGGTTGAGGCTGCACTGAGTTGTAATCATACCACTGCACTTCAGCCTGAGTAACAGAGTGAGACCCTGTCTTAAAAGAAGGAAAGAAAAGAAAAGAAAAGGAAAGGAAAAGAAAAGAAAGGAAAGGAAAGGGAAGGGAAGGGAAGAGGGAAGGAAAGGAAAGAAAGAGAAAGAAAGGAAGGAGGAAAGAAAAGAAAGAATGAATGAATTAAAATGAATTTGGAAAACAAAAAGTGACTGAAATTTCTCTATTCTTTATTCTGGAAGATCTATATCCCTATATTTTCTATAGATATACCTATATATAGATATATGTGGAAATATCTTTGCTCTTCCTTGAATCCTCCTGGTGCATCTTAGAACATTTTTTTTTGTGTAAGTGGCTTTCTAAGAATTAGGAGAGGTATCTTAATTTTCTTTTTACTTTTTATATTTACTTTAAATTGTTTTTGTAGAGATAGGGTCTCATTATGTTGCCCAGGCTGATCTCGAACTCCTAGGCTCAAGTGATCTTCCTGCCTTGGCCTCCCAGAGTGTTGGGATTACATAGGTGTGAACCACTGCGCCTAGT